GGGGGAGGGGGAGGGGTGAGGAGAGTTGCATAAAAAATATTTTCCTAAAAAAAATATTTCTACTCTCTAACCGAACAATAAAAAATATTTTCCGGAAAATGTTTTCCACTTACCAACCAAACAAGAGAAAATAAACGATAAAATCACTCATTTTAGATGAAACATTTTCTAGAAAAACATTTTCCATGTAAAACATTTTTCTTCATACCAAACACATCCTATATCAAAATTTTGTGGAGGCCGTCCAAAACCGCCTTTTGAGATGGTCGGCTAATTACTGTTGATTTTGTTTTTGCATCTGCAACTATTTGATGCTAAACATTACTGATTACAATTCAATTGTCAGGTGAAACCAGCATTCCCAACCCTTCGTAACCTTCTTACTTCAAATGTTGATGAAGAGGTGCTGAAAAATGCATGCTGGGCACTTTATTACCTTTCTGCTGGTGCAGATCTGACCTCCAATGGGTATTGTACTAGATTAACATTCATTCCTCATCCTGTTGTGAGCGATAGTGATATGATTAAGGCCTTCTGTCAAGCTGATGTTCTTCCGGTGCTACTTGATCTCTTCAAGTGAGTGAAATATTTTTATTTTCCTCATTTAACCTACTTTTTCCTATCTAACGTACGATTGTATCTGATATGTCAATTGATGTTTCAGAGATGACTTACGTTCCGTAATCCACCCTGCCATCAATACAGTTACATGTATTAGCGTGCTGGGAGACGAGCACCAGAAAGAGGTATGTGGGTATAAGGAGCTTTAGTGGTTGAACCAAAACACTTTGATAAACTAACCAATGAAAAAAGGAACAAACTAAAATAAATTAAGTGATTGAAAGGTAGAAACATCTTAAACAGCATGTATTGAGATTATAATTTAGCATGTTCCTGATCATTCGGCGTCAAATTTGATGTGTTTACTGCCTAATTTCTAATAGCCTCCGAAGAACCCACCCATTTGGTAAAGCTGTCCACCACAATATTTTAAAAGAGTCTTCTTACAGTAAGATCGTTCGACTGAAGGTGTAAAAATAGGTTCTTTGTCATCTTCAAGTCATGGGCAAGTCCACCTCCCAGCTCCAGCGCAGCCATCTAGGCTGCATTCTTTTTATTTGCCTACATTTTTTTTAGTTTTTAATAACTGGTATTCACTAACTTGGCCTTTTTAGATCTTGGGACAAAATTAAATTTCTATGCATGTAAGCTGATAATAAGAAACTTGTCCTTGATTAAAAGAAGAAAAACTTGAAGTTGTCTAGATTTAGGTTGAAAAGCATCTTCAACGCTAATAAATTGTGCTTGTAAACTTCAAAATGGGGCCTTACTTTCCTAGATATCTCTAGGCATTGTCCATTTTTGTCACGACCCGGATTCCCCACCCTCGGGGGTCATGATGGCGCCTACTAATAGGAGCTAGGCAAGCCAACTTAATTAACCATTTTAATTAAACACCCGTTCCCTTTTAACAATTAACCGCATTAAATAAAGGCGACGAATTAAATCATAAGCGGAAGACTTAAATGTAGATAAAAGATCGATAATACAGATGTTCCAACACATATATCTCTACCCCCGGGACTGGAGTCACATACTCACGAACATCTAAGGATGTACTACATACAATGTCTGAAAGAAACATAATCTGTTTATCTCGAGTACAATGAGATGACAGCCAAATGTAAAGATAGAAGGGAGACGCCGGGCCTGCGGACGCCTGCAAGCTATCTCGGGTCTCTCTGGACTGAAGGTTCGCCCCCGTGCTAATGTTGCTGCTGCTGCTCAATACCTGGACCTGTGCAAAAATGCACAGAGTGTAGCATCAGCACAAAACCGACCCCATGTGCTGGTAAGTGCCTAGCCTAACCCCGGCGAAGTAGTGACGAGGCTAGACTGGACCTCACATAAACCTGTGCAATTATAAATATACAGCAGAAATCGAAGTACAAAACAACTAACAGTATGGGAGGGGAAGCATGCTGTGGGGAGATAACAATATTAACAGTAAATCCAAAGTAATCCATCTAGGTGCAATTTAGAATCTAAGGCGAACAAGAAACTAATACCAACACTAAACACATTTGCATCAATAACTGTTGCGGCGCGCAACCCGACCCTAATACATTTCAACACTGTTGCGGCGTGCAACCCGATCCACAATTATCACTGTTGCGGCGTGCAACCCGATCCACAATTATCACTGTTGCGGCGTGCAACCCGATCCACAATTATCACTGTTGCGGCATGCAACCCGATCCACAATTATCACTGTTGCGGCGTGCAACCCGATCCACAATGTATACCTCTCAACCTTGCCCAAGCAACAGTCACAAATAAAGGCAAAGGAGTAAACAAGTATTGGAAGGAAATCCCAACAAGGGTACACAAACAACCAATAACAACCATGCAAGAGTAAATGAAGGGTACACAAACAACCAATAATAACCATGCAAGAGTAAATCGTTATTTCTCCTTTTCTTTCATTTCCATATCCTAGTTCTCATTAGCACTCGTGTCAAGCTCCAAGGCATTTCTCATTTCATATGCTCTCACCATTTGTATTTCAGACCGAGCCAATGCTCCACGAATTTCCACAATCACAATATCTTTCACAAGGTGTTTACAACGCATAGAGCCATCAAGTAAGCATGGAAGGCATAACAATATCCAAACAACCCACATATAAGGACTCACGGTCATGCTAGACCCCAATGTATAGGAACTCGTCACCATGCCTATACATCGTACTCGATCATTTAGCAACTAGCAAACAAGACTCGACTCCTATTCCCTCAAGCTAGGGTTAAACCAAACACTTACCTCAACTTCCACGGCCAATACAATTCTCCACAATCGCTTTTCCTCTCGAGTTCGGCTCCAACTCAACCAAATCTATGCAATAAGGACTTCATGTTATCAATATGTGCTAGACAAATCAAACCCAATGACTAATTATAGCTTTTTCATCAATTTACCCCAAAAGGTCAAAAATGCCCCCGGGCCCACATGGTCAAAACCCGAGGTTCGAACCAAAACCATTCCCCCATGAACTCAAATATGTAAGTTATTTTGGAATCGGACCTCGAATTGAGGTCCAAAACCCCCAAATTTTTGAAAACCTAGGTTCTACCCTAAATTCCCAATTTCCCCATTAAAATCTTTGTTTTGAAGTTGAAATTATGTTTAAGGATGTTAAGGAGTAAAGAAAATCAGTTAGAAATCACTTACCAATCGTTTTGAAGAAGTAGAATCGTTTGGAAAATCGCTTCTTATGTTTTGGGTTTTGAAAAAGTGAAGAAATGACTGAAAATCCCGACTTTATATACTGTGCTGGAGACTGGCGCGGACCGCACAAAAATGCACCGCGGCCGCGCCGAGGAAGGGAAGAAAAATGACTCTCTAAACCTACGCAGCGCGGACCGCACTGATTTGGTTCGCGGCCGCGCTGGTCGACCTAGAATTCACTGGCCCTCTGAACCTAGCCACGCGGACCGCGCAGAAATGCACCGCGGCCGCGCGGCTTCCAGCGCGGACCGCGCGGAAATGACCGCGGTCGCGCTGGGGGCCTGCAACCCCTGAACCTGCAACCATCTGCTATTTTTTTCTAGCCTAAGACCTCCCGGGACCTACTCAAAACTCACCGGAGCCCTCGGGGCTCCAAACCGAACATACATATAAGCTCAAAAACATCCTACGGACTCATCCGTGCGATCAAATCGCCCAAACAACATCAAAATCATCAAATTAGGCCTCAAGGCCCAGGATTCCTTCCAATTTCCATGAAACATCAAATTTACTGCTTCTAGCTCAAAACACGTCAAATGACGTCCAAATCTAACCAAACTTCACAGCAATTGCTTAACTCATATTTAAGACTTGTGCCGGGCGTCGGAACCAAAATACGAGCCCGACAGCACAGTCTTCTAAACAAATAACACTTTCCAATTCTTTAATTATTTTCAGAAAACAATTTCACGTAAAAATTTATTCCTCCGACTCGGGACCTCGGAATTTGATTCCGGGCACACCCCCAAGTCTCATATTTTCCTACGGACCCTCCGGGACTGTCGAATCACGAGTCCGGGTCCGTTTGCCCAAAACGTTGACCGAAGTCAAACTTAAGCAATTAAAACATCAGAATTCATTATTTTTCTCACAAATTCATATTTAAACGTTCCGGCTACGCGCCCGGACTGCGCACACAAACTCGAGGCAACCCCCAAGTGAGGTTTTCACGGCCTCAGAAATACAGAGCGAGTAGGAATACAGGTGATGACCCTTTGGGTCGTCACAATTTTGAGCCCAAAATGATGAAAAACATATCCCACAATTGAGCAGTAATTTTTCAATGTATAAATAGGCGGTTTGTGTCCTCGGGTTGCTCTTCACATAGTGAGCATTTGCTCTCAATGGGCATTACTCTTATTTGCAAATTAGACTGTGTGGGACATGTATTTTTTCCTACTAACCAAGTGAAGATCTGAATTTTGTAAGATGCTGATCGATACCCGGAGCATTGCTAAACGTAACGTCCTTGATTGCCTGTTGGGCTTGCTAAAGAGTGGAATAGAGGAGGAGATGGTCTGCATGTTTATAGCTTACGTTACTATTGGGAGCACGCAGCGGGCAAAGGTATGTCGTCTGGATTTAAAAGGACAGCTAAATATATTCAGCTCTTGCATACATTTTCTGCATGTCTTCTAAGGTGCAAATTTTACAAATGTTGGGTGGTCAAATAGGGAGTTCTTTGCTTTTTATACCCTTAACCTATCCGTTACTTTTTGTTTCACACCTAATCCTTTTTTTATTTTACGATTTACCCCTTAATGCATTCATATATTTGCAAAGTTGTGAAAGAGTTCAGTTTTCAAGGTGCAAAATAGGAATTTTTCTTTTTGACAATTATAAAAATAAAGGAAGAGAAAGAAAGAAGTTGCCCGAAGGAATGAAATAGAAATTTTAACCTTAAACTGGAACTGTGGATAAATGTGTTAAAACTAAAATCACGAATCCTAGTGGTTGGTGTTGGAATTTCTGAACTTTGCGATACCAGTGACAAAGTAATGGATCACTTATTCAATCAAATTTTATTTATCCTTAAGCTTTATAATACCCACTGCTGTTGAGATGTTCCAAGAGATAATCGCAATAACGTTTGAGATGTTTTCCTACCTTCTTCAAGCTTTACTCTACAGGGTCGTTTGGTACAATGGTGGGATATCCGATGGGATTGGCTAATCCCACCTTTTTAGTGTAAAATTTATTCCCGTATTAGATAATCCCTACAATCAAACATGGGACAAATTTTGTCCCAATTTATATCCCACCTTATCATATGAACCAAACTACCCCTAAAATATATTCTATCTTCATTAAAAAACTGCTTTTTAAAATAAAAATTATTTAATTTCTATTTTGCCCTTGCAAAATAAGATCTTTCATGATTTTAAAAAGAAGGGGGAGTAGTAGTTTTTGTCAGTGTTGTTGCCTAATTTCAGATTGGTTGTACATAGCAAATTATATTTTGTTTTAAACGTGTACAGATCCACGTGGCAAGCAAGATGATCAAGTTAATTTCACAATAAAACACCATTTTCCTTTTGCTAATCTTAGAAGAGTGTGCCCTCTCTCGCTCTAGATCTATCTTTCTCTCTCTTCGAATCAAATGCAGCTAATCCGATGAAACCCCAAGAGGAAAGTTAAGCATGTTTTTGAATTGGTTGTCCTTGAATTTGTCTATTCATTGTTTTTAAATTGCTTTAATTTTGGGGTTATACCTATCTGGCTTGTGGGTAATTTGTTTCTTAGAATCTTCACTAACTGATTGTTTAATTGCTGCTGAAGTTCATTGCCTGTTCGTGTCAGTGTTCTACAAGTTTTCATTTTTTAAGTGTCCATTTCCAGGCTTTGCTATCTTTTTGGTTATAAAGATTGATTATTTCTATGCTAAAAGATTTGTTTTTTTGTTAGAACTCTTTTTTTCCTGCTCTAGTTTGGACTAGTCAAGGCATTGTATAGTGATACTCTTATTAGCCATAAAACTTTTCCATTTTTAACTGCCGAGTGGATGTCATTAAGCTGATAAAGTGAATGAATACTGCTTAGCTAGAAGAAAGAACTAGTAGAGTTAAGTGTGAGTACGTGATTTTTGCCCTATATGAATTACTTCCATAAATTCAAAATAAAATAATTTCTTTCATTATTTGCAATTTTATGGATTTTTGTGGCATCTTCTGTTAATTGTTCGCATTTTGTCTGTGCATTTTAATTAATGAAAAATACAACAAATATGTGCATTTGCTTTTAGGATTTAATTTAGCATTTTAGGATTAATTAAGTAATTAGGTTATTTTATAAAATAAAAAAAAAGGGAAAATCAAAATATAGTCATCTGGCACCTTTTAATTTTAATTTTAGATTTTTTGAGTAGTTTAATAATTGTGGTATTTATTTAGGATTAGTTAGTATTTTTGCTGAGTTAATTTGGTTTAATTTAGGATTTTAGTTTTAATTTTTTGGAAAAAGAAAAAAGAGAAGAAAGGAATTATTGAAAATTTGATTTGAATTAGGAATATAAAAGAATACAAAGATCAGGAATTTTGGGCCGAAACTAATTAATCTTACCCTAGGCCCAAGTCGTTTCCTCCTCACCCGACCCAAACCCGCGCCATCACCCGATCCGTCTCCTACCCCAGTCAAAACGACCCCGTTCGAATAAGTTGAATCGAATCTGAGCCGTCTATGTTGCTCGATCTAACGGCTTTGAAGTGGGTCGAGTTTATTATATAACTGTCTGAATCAGCCCCCCCCCCCCCCCCCCCCCAACTCGTCCCCTTCAGCCTCTTAAGAGACAACCTGTGCAAAACCCTAGCTCGCCGCCCCTAAACTCCACCACCTCAAGGTGGCGGCACCTACTCCATTCCTCACCAAAACAACACCCTAGAGCCTCTTTGCCTCCCTCATATTAAATCCTATACCAGTTCCTCTCGAACACCCCTGAGATCTCTCGAATCTAGTTTTGAAAGATCTAAATCTCAAAAATCCCAAATCGTCGAGTGTTTGAGATTGGAGGTCGAAATTGTCTTCAGTTGTGTGTTTTCGCTTGAGAACACACGATTGAGGCCCATTTCGGCCAAGAATCGAAGGTTCGAGTTGTGAATTCAAGTTTGTTCGGGCCAGTCTTTAGGTATTTCTTTATACTTCTCTTTTCCTTTCCTTTGTTTTGGTTCTTCTGTTCCTTTGTGTTAAGTTTCATCTTATCACTCCTTCCCCTCTGTCTTATTTGTTGTTCGTTTGATTTCGAGTCTTGCCTGTTTATCTACTTACAATTAAAATTAGTGATGCCTAATGGTTTCAATTTTCTTAATTCTTTGGTTCATGGTGTTTATTTTGGTTCAATAAAAAGGGGGGTCTGAATGAGTCCGGTTGGGCTCATCAAATCAAGGTCCTTCAATTTGGATCCGGTGTCTATAGGCAGAGTCCAAGGAAAAAGGATCCAAATAGTTTGGCAGGCCCAATTGCTGAAACTAGACCCTTGGGTCAGTTGACCCGGGCGGGTTGTTAGGGTAATTAAACAAGGGTTCAGGGGTAATTTGGGGTAATTGGGTAGGGGAATCTTTGCTAACTAATTGAGAAGCTTCTAGGAAGTTGGGTGGGGGATTTAAAATGAGTTTCAGATTTTTAACTAAGGACTAAGTGGCAAAAACAAAAATTCAAAAAGGGCTAATAGGCAAATCTGATCTCCCTTTGGTTGCCATATTGCCTTGCCTATAAAGGCATCTTATTCTTGCCTTGCAAGGCAGACTTGGAAGAGAAGGGAAGAGCTAAAAAAAATACAAAAAGAAATAGAGACAGCTGACTGGTTGAAAGAATTACTTTTTTATTTTCTGAGAATTCGTGAGGTTTTTGATTTCTAGAGTGATTTCTGATTCTAGTAGCTGAAATGGACTAAATCTGGTTTTCAAAGTTTGGTTTGAAGTTATCATATTCTCAACTTGATTGGGACTGCTTCTTCGACTGCTTCATACCAATTTTCTTTGGTTGAGCTGTTTACTGAAACTGGTGTTGCTCTGCTGTGGTTCCTGCTGATACCTCACTTCTCTGTTTCTTTTTTTACTTCCAGGTACATATCCTTGACCTTAAGCATGTAAGGATTGATTCATGAAGTGTTTCTTTGTTGAGGAAAAATGAAGATTATGTTCTCTGTTATTAGATGTTCTCATTTTTAGTTTCTCTACCAGTTTGTCTTGTCGATTTTATCTCAGCATGTTTAGAGTGAGATTGTGCTTTGAATCATGAGTTTTACATTGAAACTGTAATGGGATATCATGTAGCATTTACTGATTTTCACATATTTAATTCTTAGGCTCTGTTGTTGCTAAAAGTGTCCGCTAAATTTAAGACCCATGAATATGTCCTTAAGTTCAGATTACTTGAATGTTTTGTTAGTCAAAAGTTGCTAGAGGTAAGATTGAGCATGTGTTTGAAAGCTGAAGCCATTGAATTTTGTTTCCGCTGTTGGTTTAATCTTATTTGAGAGTGGTAAAAATGAAAGAAGTAATGGAATATATGAATGAGGTTTGGCTTGGTTAGATATGCAAAGGTTGTGTTATAAGCTAGAATCGGAAAGGTAGGGGTCCCTGTGGTGTGAGGCTAAAATCGAACTAAGTATGCTTTACATGTTTGATCACCATGTCACTTTATATAATTTCGTTTATTGTTCATACAGATTAAGCGAGGTTTTTGTTTGTTTGCAGTTTCATTTTGGATCAACAATTTGTTGAGTAATTGCAATTATTTTCCTTTTGTCCTTAGTTAGCATAAGTTTGTTTAAGATTATTTTGATAATATGTTCCTAATCCTTCATGCGATTGGATTTGTTCAGCACTACATGCTCGTATTCCCAGTAGCTAGTACATTTCGCTTTATCAATTTCGTTTGGCTCCTGATGTATCTCAATCTACTGTTCTAATTACACTACATCAATAGAATGAGTTTTCATAGGCTACTAATTTAATTTAGTTCATATAGTCCGAAGTGTGCCACCCACAGTTTAATTATACGTGGCCCTCGTATTAATTTCATAACTTAGATATAAAAATGATTAATGTTCGTAGAAAAGCCTTTAGAGTCGTTTAAAATGCAATCGTGATTGTGTATACGTTCGCGTAACATAATTACGATTTTAAAAACAAAACCGGAGAATACGTTCGCGCAACTTTGGTTAAACTTTCTTAATAATAATAAAGCGTTATTAATTGTGGACACGTCCGCGTGACATGATTTTTGACGCACCAAATAAATGGGTATACGTACGCGTAACCCGTTTCAAAATAATTTTCTTAATTAAAAGCGGTGAAAGAGGCAAAAGCACATAGGTTCTAAAATAAGTGACTAGACAATTTAATAAGCCAAGTTTAATCAAAGCGACCGTGCTAGAACCACGGAACTCGGGAGTGCCTAACACCTTCTCCCGAGTTAACAGAATTCCTTGCCCGGATTTCTGTGTTCGCAGACTGTATAACAGAGTCAACCTTCCTCGATTCGGGATTTCAACCGGTGACTTGGGACACCATAAATCTCCCAAGTGGCGACTCTAATTTTATATAAATAATCCCGTTTCGATAGTCACTTAAATTGGAAAAACTCCCTTATACCCTTCCGGGGGTAGTAAAAAGGAGGTATGACAGCTCTGGCGACTCTGCTGGGGACAAGAACCCAGAACTTCCGGTTCAGGGTTCAAGAATTCAAGCTTGTTTTATGATTTTTACTTGGCTTCATTTACTGTCGATATTACTGTATTCTGTGAACCTTCTTGTGCTAAATGCTATCTGTTATCGCTTTAATATTGTTGAATTGTATATAATTGTCTTCTTATGCCACCCCTCTGAGTCTTCTGAAAATGGTGCATACATTCACGTGGCCCGCTTTTTCTGTAGAAATTATATCAAATAGAGCGAGGCTGGGCAAGCGACAAGGCCGGGCAAACTTTAGTGCTCCCGGTACGTCGCCCCCTCCTCGGCCCCAGTTGTCCGCTCGGGCACCCCAAGTCTAGACCAAAACCCCAGGATTTAATCCTAGAAAAACACAGCTTCATGCCGGATCCCTAGTAGGAGCGCTTGTTTGCATCACGTGCATTTGACTTAGGGGACTCAACACAGGGGTTGGGTCCGTCTAGGACAGGTGTACCCAAAATAACTGACCATCCTGATGCATTCTATGTGCTATGTGAACATTTATTTGTTTCGGCTTGCATGGTGACCGGCTAGGGAAAATAAAAAGGAAAACCAAGAGAGATGTAAGGAAGAAATAAAGCCCGGTTCTAAAGAAAAACCCAATATTTGAAAATATCCCGAAACCCTGCCAAAATTTTTCAAAAAAGAGAATAATAAAAAGAGTTGTTTCAAAAGAGTCAAAGCTGACCGAACTACGTATGTCTGGTTCTCGCCGGATGTGGGATACGTAGGCAACCTACATAGGGTTTATTTTTGAAAAAAAAAAGAGAAAAAAAGAGTCAGGGGTCAAGTAAATGTAGTTTTGGTCAAAATAAGCCGATTCAGCTTCGGCAATGTTTTAAACCGTTCTTGCCGAAATAGCCTTATAGTATTTTTCAGTTGTCGAAGGGCTATTTTCGTAAAATAACGAACAAGTTTGTGAAGTGTCATAAAATAGTCCTCCCCGGCCTCAAAATTCGTGTGGAATTGGAAAGGGGCCACATTTGCAAAAGCAGTCATTTGGCTAAAATTGGCATATAAGGGAAGGAATCATGGTCCTTTGATTTTTCGTATAAAAATTGGAAACCTGTTTTACAAAAAAGGGTCCACTAGAGTCAATCCTAACCTTAACCTTCCACAGGAACAAATGAATACTATCCAGGATTCACCAGAAGTGGTTAGGGAGCAGGCTCGGGTGCACCTGCATATGTGGTGGAATGATCTAGATGAAGATGGTCAGAAATGGGTCAAAAAGCAGTTGGGTGCCCTTATAAACATCCTTGAGATTAAACCACGGGACCATCTGATCAAGGCTCTGACAACTTTCTGGGACCCTGTCCATAATGTTTTTCGTTTCTCAGACTTTGAGATCACCCCTACTTTGGAGGAAATGGCTGGGTATATAGAGTTGTGACAGGATTTGAGGAAGCAACAACTCATATTTCCAAGGGCTCCGTCAGTGCACAAGTTTTTTGACCTCCTGAATATTAGTAAACAGACGAAGAAAGACCGTGTAAGCAACGGGTGTTGTGCTTTCCATTTCTTATACTTCAGGTTCGGGCACTCTGCTGGTTTCGAAACGCATGAAAAGGGTTTGAGCAACAAACAAGATAAGGGTCGTTGGCAAATTCATCGCCGGTTTGCATTTATTGTGGCGTTCTTGGGGTTCATGGTTTTTCCAAATGAGGAAGGGACAGTTGATATTCGTATGGCTAGAATTGCACAAATCCTCACTACCAGGGAAGAGCATACACTTGCCCCGTTGGTGCTGGCAGATATTTATCGAGCGTTGACTTTATGCAAAGCCGGGGCTCAATTCTTTGAGGGTTGCAATATCCTTCTACAAATGTGGTTGATCGAGCATCTTCGCCACCACCCCAGATTCATGAGTTATGGCTCGAGCCCAGATAACTTCATCACCAGTTACGAGGAGAGGGTAAAAAGATTACAGCGTGCCAGAAGGGTTTGAAGCATGGGTATCTCATTTGAAAGATCTCAAAGCAGGTCAGGTCGAGTCGACTATAGGATGACTCCCAAGGACAGAAGCCATATACATGACCGCTACTAAAGGCTACCTGAGGTTAATGGGTGTAAGGAGTATTCATCCGTATGCACCGCAAAGGGTCTTGAGGCAATTGGGAAGATATCAGATTGTGCTTGAAGATGAAGTCTAAGCACCCAGGTCATAGAGTTGCATCCGAAAGCTGCATTGCCCGAGGCTTTAGTTCAGCAGGATTGGAATAGCTGCCGGTATCTGAAAAATGGCACCCAGGTACCAGATGTTGCAAAGGGGGAAGTAGATCCAAACTATGCTGCTTGGTTTGAGGAAAGGTCTTGTGTGAACAACGAGCCAGAACCCGAACCCGAGAGGCCTGCCAAAAGACCTCATATTCAAGCTTTTGACAGGAAAGATTAGCATGGGGGGAAAAAGAAAAGACATATCAAGCTGAGATTCGGGCTCTGAAAGAAAAGCTGAGAAACATGGAATTCAACAATGATCTCCAAGCACAAGAAGCCGAAGGTGAAAGAAGAAAGTTGGCCCAAGAGAATGAAGCTCTCCGAGCCCAAGTTCGAAAAATGAAAATAGCAATTGACAACCCGGGCAGGAGCACAAAAGACGAAAAGCTCATCTACAGCCTTACCCAAAAGGCGCGTGATTTCGAGGATGATTTGCAAAAGACCGAAGCGGAACTAGCAAATGCCCGAGCCAAGCTAGCTAAGGATAGTGGGGAACGTGCCAGTCTCGTTCGGCAACGGAAGGAGAAAGTACGACAAGGGGACTGGCGAGTATGAAGTGAAAAAAGGTCAAGGTCCTTGAAAATGAAATGGCTAAGCAGGCAAGAGACTTCAAAGCCGAAAGGGAGCATTGTTATGCCTTGATAGCACGGCTAGAGAGGGATCTGCAANTGTAACAATTCAAGAACAGAACCATGCAGACCGAACAAACGTTTGGAAGCTAGGGCCCGGCAGATTGGGCGTTTATTGCAAGAAAAGGGTAGGATCCGAGAGAGGGTCAGGGCCATTGCTGATTACATTGTGGTGAAGTGCCAAGAATGCGAGGATATGACCCGCACCACTTTCTTCGCGGCAGTGATGACATTTGTCCGGCAAATAATGAGTGATTTGGAAAGGCTACAAGGGGATCTTATAGATAGGCCCGTGGCGAGGCCGAACAATGCCCCGCGGACCCCAGGAACATTCGAGGCATTAATGTATTCTGATCTTTGCTTGAGTCTGTACTTTCTTGCTGTTGAAGTCTGTCAATTTGTTTTGAGTCTGTTAGTTCTTTTGAGTCTGTATTTTCATCTTTTCAGAGTCTATTAGTTTCTTTTTAGTCTGTCAGTTTTTGTAATAAAAGCATTTGTTTTTTTATAAAAAATTTGAAAATTCCAAAATGTTTTGTTATTTATTTTTCATTTATATCCCCAGAACTACGCTCGGTCTGATTCATGCGGGATCATGATACGTAGGCAATCTCCATAGGATTCGACCATAACCAAAAGAAGAAAAGAAGAAGAGAGGAAAAACAAAGAAAAAAAAGAAAAGAAAAAGAGAGGAAAAACAAGAGAGAAAAAGAAAAGAAAAGAGAAAGAAAATAAGAGACCACAGGGAGGAAACAATAGCAAAACAAGAGAGGGAAATGAGAGAATAAAATAAAGGGGAATCAAGCAAAGAAAGGCAAGAAGGAAAAAGAAGAAAAGAGAGAGAAAAAAGAGTAGTTGCAAAT